GGGAAATTTCAGGGAAATTCAGCAGTCTTAGGATGTAAGGACTGTGGAATTACTGACATTCGTCAGTAAAGTAACGTTCTCTTGCAATTTAAAATAGTCTTGTAAAATGGTTAGTGTTAGTAGTTCGCAGAGTAGTTGAATTGACTGTGTTCACTGTTAGCATGGAGCTAGTTCGAACAACCTCTCTCTGTCCCATTTATTTGCCTTTGACATTATCTCTGTTCTGTGTGCTTCACTGTGTTGCCAAGAAAATTAGGGTAAAAATCCCATCCATCAGAGAAACATCAACTAAGTGCTAGGACAAATTGGAAGACTTTTTAAAAGACAGTCACTTCAGCAGTAAAAGGGTGTAATAGTACTGCAGGAATGAAAATGGAAAATCTGATTTGTTAGTGAACTTGTGCAGGCCAATGTTCATGTATGGTTTGTCAATGCTATTTCCTTTGACCACTACAAAACATTTCCTGAAATTAATGAATGATCCATTATGAGGAGCGGTTGGTGGAAAATGGCATGACCAGGGCTATTCACCAATTCCACTGTTATCTGCTCAGCATTATCATCAAATACAACTTTTCAGTGGAAGATATTTCTATTTATGCAGGGAGGTTTCTGGAAATCAGAGTTAATGTTGGAATTTTCATGTGGGTTTGATAATTATGAGGTTGAGAGACAGGGATGCGTGGGGAAAAAAGCCCACAGAAACTACTGAAAGACTTTCAACAACTTCAAATACTAAGATATCCAGTAGCTGGACCTAAAAGAGATAGTAGAAATATTTTAGGGAAAACCTTTATAATGTTTTCGAGATCAATGAGAAGAAGAATAAATTAGGATGGAACTATTCAGATGTCAAATAAAATTAGAGTGGATTAAATTGAATCAGTGATTTAACTTTATTCATCGTTTCGCCAGTGTTGTCTCCATCTCCCCGGCTCCCTCTGCTGTTACCAAGTGGCTATTGCACCTCTCTGCTCCGGCTCCACTAAATCGGCCTCTGACAGAAGTCTACGGGATAAAGGAAGCCTCTCACACACTGGCAGTATCTAAAATTAATATTACTAAAACATAAGACATTAGTAAGGATTACAGTGAGTCTGTCAGTAATTTACTCCCTCCACACTCATTTAGAAATATCTATACGCCTCAGACTGTATCATTCAACACAGTATATCCTTCCTTTAAGTTTCTTATTTTAAAAAGGAAAACGTCCACACAAGTAAAAAGATCGCAGGAGCAGATGTCTTTTCTAACAGCTTTCTTCTAGCCTAATCGGAATCTACAGTGGTCTGTTCCTGGCATCTTTGTTATGCAAATCTTTTACTGCAGAAAAAAACCTCGGGTTTACGGCTGACCTTCATTTTGCCTAGGGTAGCAGTGACATCCAGCGGTTCCGGTAGAAAAAAGAGAAATTTGCTCTTTTTTCTTTCTACCAAAGTCCATCACAGGAAATGTATCAGAAAATGGCAGGGACCCCTTGGTATTCCCTTCTCTTTGTGGATATTTGCAAATGCCACCAACTGCAGGCAGTTTGACAGCCGTGGGAATGGATAACCCGCACAGGGAAACAAAAATGCAGAATGGGAAATAAACAGAAAACACCCTCTGAGGCAGACCATCTTTCTAATGGCTTTGAAAGGACACTGCAGATAGGAAATGTAATTGGTATTTTTAAATGTTCAAGTAAAAAGAACCTTCCTATATTACACCTACTCCATTGACTTCACAGCATTTTCCTTCTTAAAATTGTTTTTATTAACCCTGTACTTGTACTGAAAGAAATGAAGAGGCTTACAAACAAGGGGAAGTTGATTGCAGACAAATTACTACAGGGGAGTTTTTTTCCTCAAGACCAGAATAAAGAAAATTTCAATTATTAGCGTTTCCAGTAACTAGCTGAGTGTTGAACTGTGATGTGATATTTGATGCACTGAGAAGTGATTTAGATTTTGTGTACATGTGTTAAAAGAAAAAAAAAATCAAAATATTAAATCCATATAAGGAACCGGGCCAGCAGAGGTAGCTGTTGGTACAACAAAATCAACAACTATGTTTGTTTTTTTTTTCAATGAACATTCTACATTTAAAGAAGAAAACATTTTTTTAAGCCAGATAGTCAGACATTGCAGACCTTGCAGTCTCCAGCATTGGAAATTCACTTAAATTCGTTTTTTCCTCCTTTACTATTTTGCTGTCATTTTTATTTCTTCGAGACTGCCCATTTCTAATTCCTCTTAACTGTTCCTAGCTCCTAGGCACCGCATATTTTCTATCATCTCCATTTTTATTTTGTCAACATGGAGTTCAGAAAGGATGAGTCAACTCCAAATAATCCCAAGGTTAGCTTAAAAAAAAATCAGATTTATGAATAATAATTCTTCACAATATTTTCAAATATCATTTGGACCTTTTGTGGCTCCAAATTTTGACTTGATCTCTGAAAGACAGGGTTAGAGAACTCTGAAATGTGGGTAAACTTACGTAACTTTCGAATCAAGAAGTACGCTGTCCCGCTGGCTGTTTACGGGAACTATCGCTGTTAATGGTAGGAAAACACGCTCTCCCAGACCTAGGTCTGACGTGGCTACCATACATTTGCCTCTGCTGAAGCTGACTGAGCAGAGAACTTTCAGTCTCCATGAGTATTTTAATAAACACCCTCAAAAGGACGTCATGGGTCTTTCTAAAAACGTTTCTACGCTAAAGGAACATTTCATCGTTGCAGCATTAGTGATTCCTATGTTCAACAGCCATTATACTTCAGCTAAACATTCTAAATGCTGGACATGATGGCTTCCTGCTTCTGTTTCCAAGAGCACAACATGCGTACTTTTTTTTAAACATGGTCCCTTCCGGTGGGCTAACAGCAGGGCTGCAACCCTGCGGCATCCTTGTCGTCATCTAGGACTTTCTGCAGTCTGACTGAAAGAACCAAGGGCCAGCTCTGTCGAGGTGGGTGAAATTCAATCGCACGTACACAAAATTGTAAGTAGATGCTCTCCAGATTTAGCAGGTTCTAAAGGCACTTTATCTTAAATTTCTTGGAATTTATCTGGCTTCTATCCCATTCTCCAAGGACTGTTTATGCCTTTCACATTTCATGTTTATGTGAAAGACATAAACAGCCCTTCGAACGAGGCCTAAAATCCAGGTCTAAGATCAGTACCTTCTTTGCCTGTCTCTTTGTGCAAGATCTGTCCTCTGATCATGGCAAAGCTTTCCAGTTCCCACTGGAAAGAAAACTCAAAACTCAATAGCAGCTGTGATCCAGAATTCTCCTCCTATTATAAGAAAGATCTTTGTTATTAGTAGCATCATGCAACTGTAAGAAAGAGTACGTCTCACCCATTTCTTTCACCACCTCCTTTGCGTTTCGGATCACTTGCACTCCAAAGTAACAATACGCCTACTGCAGACAAGTGGCCACTTACACGGTGCTTTGAACTTTGCAGGTTAGGAGAGGAAGAGCTTTAGGTGCCTTGTGTCAGGTAAGCACTCATAAGGGTATTTCCTTTCAGTGCTAAAACCCAGGACAAAAAGCCCTCAGGCACAATTCTTTATTTCATGGAGCAAACTCTTAGCAGCTGTCTGGCTGCTCTGGATACCATTCAGAGGAGCCCACCTCCAGCCAGTCATTTTATGTCTTTGAGCACCCGACAGCTTTTTGACACCATCTTATGGGCATACTTACCCAGACAGCTCAGAACACAGACAACACATAGTTCTCTGCACCTGTCCATGAATCTTAGGAGAGCCTTTCTAGAGAAAGTCTGTATTGTGCAGTCAATTTGCTGTAGATTTTGCTGCTCTACTCTCCAAACTCCTGTTCCTTCCTCCATCCCCCAAAACAGTCAAACACAAATTTCAGCTGATAGTAGCATACATGAGTCCAATACCCATTTAGTTTTCAAATGAAACATCTTGGTGAACATATGAATCACTCAAAATCCTCACTGCTGGTGTTGTTTCAGGGAACTGTGAAGAACAGACTTGGAAGAGCACATAATATTTTTAGTTAAAATTAGTTCTGCCTGGACATAAATATACATTAAAAAAAAAAAAAAAGTCAGGATTTCCTCCATAATGATGCGATTTTAAAGCCTGAATAACTGATTTAACACAGACCAAGGCCAGGCCTCACTGTGACATTTTATAGGTTTTGGCATTTAGGTCGCATAGAGTCAACATCATGTATGACTATTTTTTGCACACAGTTCAACAATACAGATGGATAGGCACTGGCACACAGAGCAGAAATAGACGTATTACCAAAGTTTCAGAGGTGCAAAATATCCCTGCCCCCAGTACCAACAATACATGAAGGTTTCATTAATTTTAAGGTCAGAAGAAAGCAGAATGACAGTTCACACTGACGCGCTGCGGGGACAAAAGAATCCTTCCCTTTAATTCTTCTGCTAGCTTTGTGTGTTCTTGCCCACACATTTTTCCAAAGTTGCCTATCCTTTCATATACACCAGCTAATGAGGGATACGCAACACCTGATAATCCTTTCCAAGTGCAATGTTAAAATTTTGTTTAGACTTTGAAACGTCAGCACATTCGGAAAATTCATGCTGTCCTGTTCATACTTCAGTCTAGTTACGTATACTTGGCTATTTATGGTACTGACTCTCATGGATCATATTGTGCAACACTATATTTTCAGGAGTAACAGCCCAGCCATTCTACTGCAGAACTCAAGCCAGGATGGAAACTCTACCTAATCTGCTCTCTGATATTGTTCCCTTTTTTTATTTTTTTTAGAATGTTAAACACAAGAAGGAACTTGTCCTCATTAGATGTCTTCAATCTTGCTTGCAGGCAATCACACAAAGAGCTGGAAGATCTAGAGCCAGTAGTTAACCAACAAGAAACATACCGGGTAGACATAGTGGCATGTCTTGACTGCAGAATCTCACAATAATCTAAACTGACAGGGTTTAGTCTTCTAGAAACACAAATGTGTTTACATGTTATTGAAAAAGCAAAAAGCGAAGGCATTTCATGTACATAAAGTTTTATTCAACCTCAGCTGGTACTCCGTTACTCCAGCCTTAGCGGAGTTTTGCTCCCCTAGGTAGACAGGTTTTCAACCGACTGTCTCTGACTGAAAACATCTAGGCTAGGCCAGATTTTAGTCCCAGCCTTTCATTAATACAGTCAGACACAAAAGAGCAGTTGAAATCCTGGCCACCTGAAAGGCTGCAAAGCAACAAAAAAAGATCGAGGAGGATTTTCATCGTTTTCTACGTTTGAATAGAGAATCTTTCCTCTGCGTTGATCACTAAATAGTTAAGAAGCAATTAAACTGCACGTTCAAGAAACAGATGCATTCTACGTTTCAAGCTGTGATCAAAAACACGTGCAACTATTTTTCCGCTTATGAAGCCTGTGGTTTTATCTTCTCAGCAGCTTCAAGGACAGATGGAAGGCTGACTTTGTCTCCAAATTCTTTCTCACGATGCTCCAGTAAAACACCCTAATTAAAGACACAAGAGAGAAATTCATACACTAGTCTCCCCACAGGAGATCAACGGACCAGCAATTGAACAATTCCAGAAGAGAAACTTTTGGTCTCACAGGAGACATAAAAGCCTCCTAGATAGCCTGCAGTACCTGTCTTCCTGCCCCAATCACATATACTCCTCCCAGGGTGAATCCTTCTCCTTCCAGGTTACCACTATATCCACTTTTCCAAGCACGGAAGAAATTTTGCCAGACTCCAAAGCGGAAGAAGCCTGACATCATCATTTTTCGTCTGCGTGGACCATAGAAGCCTTTCTGCAGGGAAACAGAAAATATCTAAGCAAACTAAGTGAAAAGGACTTTTCCTCCTAAATGAAATTCAGGAAACCAGCCAACCCTTTATCCAAGAAAGGTCACAACACACAGAAGCTAACCAGGCAGAGCTAAAAAAAAATTGCACCTGAACTAACCTCTTTAACGCACTACCTGACCACTTACCTCTACACAGCCCACTAGTGGTCCTGCCACCGTTCATGTGGATTTTAAGCTGATCCACAGGCATTTAAGCCCTATGTACATCTACATCCCTACTGCTGACAACAAGGGTGCTTTGTGATAAACATCTTTTTTCTTATTTTTGAAGTATGGCAATAAAAACGCTGGTAAAGAGAGAACAGTGGCGCCAAGTCCTGAAATCAGCCATCTGCTTTTTGTTTTGGTTTTTTTTTGTTGGTTGGTTGGGTTTTTTTGTTTTTTGTTTTTTTTTTTTTAAATCAGCCTGATTCTTTCACACAAGCAGAGTGGGGAGGGAAAATAAAGGTATCTTCTAGTTGACTTTGAGTATTACATATTCTTTTTCCTTCAGAAGCCAAATGATTTCTAAATGTGTCTTCTGGGTTAAGGAGTAAGCAGGGCCGTGGTTTTGTAGGACGTGAGACTGGCAATACAGCATGTGCCACTGTACTGGGACAAGCCACATCACTGCAGTTCGGCCTGTACATCATGAATTAATTATGTCTGTTACCTTCAGACTTTGATTCACATATCATAAACATCAGCAAGTCACACAGCCAGTGGAAGAAAGGAATAAATATTAATAGGCCATATTGTTTACCTGTTAAAGGGGAGGAATACCCAACAGCATATTATCAGTGCATAGCTACAGAGCAGTTTGTAAGCTGAGAAGGATATATATATATAGAAAAGCAAAGCTAATTAACTTCTTAAACTACAATGCTACTAAGTCCTTTTTCATTCAGACTGCATTCTAACTACATTATTTATATAAGCTCTTCAAAGAGGATATTTGTAAGTTTGTTTTTAAACAAAAGGAGAACACCAACTTCACTATACCTTTTCATCCAGAAAGATTTCTCCTTTGAAATAACGCTGAAAATCCTCCACTTCAGTCCCTATCTTCTCTTTCACAACAGCATAGAGAGGGACACCCAGCTTGGACAGCTGAGGTTTCAGAGAGGAAAGCTCAGAAGCCTCCTAAGAAAGGAAAAAAACCCAAACATTTCAGACAGTAGATGGAGGTTGGAAAGCTTCACCTTGAATTTCAAGAGCATCAGAAACATACATAAATTCTAGCTTGAGGCGCAAACCAGAAACAGATCTGTAAATCAGACATTTAAGCCAACTCTACTCCTAGGCAGGTCTTCATTAGATTTACCAAGATTTTCTTCATTAAGCACAGAGGAAGGAGATTTTTTGAGCATTTATTGGATAAAATATTAAAATACAGGAGAAAATATACTTTTAACTCAAAGCTGTACATATACTTTGCCTGCACTAGGGCTTCAACTACCTTTTAAAGTGTTTACAGAACAGTGAAAAGATAGTACCTGCACACCACTTAACTTTCCCAGTGAAAATAATCAGGGAATTTCTTCATACACCTTCAGTATCCCAGAAGCAGTACTGCTTTTTCTGGCCCCCTTGATTGGGTAGACGCAACAGACCCTGGGTGAAAGTCTACGTGGGCACGTTCCAAAGTTTGAAACAAATTTTTGACTTTTGGCCAAAATTCAGAAGATGCTGTGAATATCATTTTGAGCTAGTGTAAATACAAGGAACAGAAACATTTGTCTGGACTTTTGGATTTGTGCAAATTGTGTAAAAGGCAGGTGGGTAACTGGTGCCTGTCCAGCTTGTAATAGTGTAAGAGTGTAAGGTGTCACCACTCATCTGCTGGGTTTTTTGTTCTGCTGAAGGAATCTCAGCTCCCACAGTTTGTGCAAAGGCCTCCGAGGTTTCCAGCAGATCAGAGTGCACGCTGCAAATATCTTTCTTCTCACTTCCAGTGGAGAAAGGTAATTTTTACTGGAAAAAACTCCCACAAAGAACTCCACACTTTAAAAAGTGGACACAGTTTATGTAAACACCCTCAGCTACCTAACTGAAATGCCTTAACTCAAAGGCTTGCGGGATATCTACAATTTACTGAGTATTAAGCAGCAGACAGATAGGGGTGAACAGACATGAGAAAAGACATTACAAAAAGACATCAGTAGGTGAAAGGGTAAGGGCAGCTTTCCAGTTCACTACTGTCTTTTTCAGAGGAAATGAAAAAGGATGAATCAGCATCACAAGCGAACACCGAGTAGTGAGCGTGAGAGTTAAAGGATCATAGCTTACGTTTGTTAGATCTTTCCCCACTTTTCTGTTCTTAAAGATCCAGTAATTATTTTCTGTCTTCCCTCAACATAATGCCTTATGATCTTCCTAAAAGGGGGGTTTAATAGCAATTTTATCTGGGATTTTTTTTTTTTTTTTTCAAAAAAATGAGAGTTTTGAGAGTTAATTTCAAAAAATTATGAGAGTTCAAAACTCTCATAATCAACAAACCAAGCCAACCAAAAAACATTGTATTGAGACCTAACATGTCTGAGAACTGATGTTCCAGGCTAGTGCAGTGGGGTCCCCTGTAAGACCAGAAATCAGTGTCTTTGGAGAGATAGTGATACCATCAAAACTTGATTAGCCTTTTGGAGAAAGGCACTTCAGCAGTTTGGTGGGGTTTATTTTGTGTCTCCTTGCCTGGCTTTTGGGAGGGGAAAGAGCAGGAATAAACTAAGAGCATAGTTAAGTTTTAAAATTCTGCAGAGATTAGACTTCAAGAAGCATCTTGGGACTAGACCTGACTTGTTTTTCTTTACTGCTATTTAAAAATGATACAATAAGAGAAAGCAAAGGAGTCTATTTTTGTGGGCAAATTACAGCATATAACAGCTGTACAGCCTTACCATGGGGCTGTGACCATTTCATCTAGTCTGTGAAATGGTTTTCTTATTTCTGTAAAAAGCAGACAAGCACACCCTAGCAGAATACTTCCTCTCTCTACCAAGGCAGGGACAACCCAAAAGAACAATTCCCATTTCAGTTTGTCCCTCTTGACAGTTCAATTATGGCTCTTCTGCTACTTTAGACTGCTTGAGTTGACACCAACAATATTTAGCAAGCCCATGGCACTTTCACAATGACTGGCACACTGGATCACTACATGCCTGGATCCAAACCATGAGATGTAGAAGTGTAGTCCTGTTAAACACAGTCTATCTTAAATAACAAAAAAGGAATCTGATGATTTAGGATGCAGATGATAAAGATAAAAAACTCCATCTTTCTTAAGTTTACAGGCCTCAAATCTCAAGGATCCAAAGACATCATTCCAGTAGGTGTGACACCCTTTGCAGTGGATAATGGAAGCATGTCCTTACCACTGATGATACCAGGTCAGTGATCTATGAGGTAGAACGGCCACTTTTCAACCCCACCACTGTGTCCAGGGAAATATATATTCCTTCTTGGTGCTGTCAACAAGGACAAAGTTCAACATCCTTTCCGAGGTGTGAGATAGTGGGAAGCAAGTGTATTTTGTCTCTTGCGAAAAAATAAAAACCTACTGCCTACACGTTAACATATATGGCAAGTCACCTGTATTGAACCATTCCACCAGCTCAGAGTCACTGACAGCAGGGAAAGAAGCAGCTTTCATACTCCGGAGAAACATTAATGGACAAAAAAGGGCAACTGAACTGTTCTCAGAAGAAAGGCAAGAGTCAACTCACAAAAATGCTTTGAGTATACAACAATCAAAAATAACTTCAGTTTAGACAATTTAAAAGTTTTTTCAAACACTTTCACAGTCAAAATACAAAACAATTCTTTGCCCTAATTAGCTGATCAGTACTGTGACTGCCTCTGTTAAAAATATGAAGTTTTGAACCAAAAATAAGAATTAGAAAATTAAATTTCTCTCTCCTCATTTTTTTTCTGAAAGAAAACAAACCATAATTCTTTGAATTAGGCTTTTTATTTCTACTTAGGAAGTTAGCATTAAAAAAAAAAATCATTAATTAATGAATTCCTGTCTGACTGTATGCGAAAGGCACAGAGTCAGGCACATAGCATATTCTCTCCTGCCTACGCTACACCTGTTCAGAGAGCAAAGTTCTTTAATCTTTAACCTTCCATGAATTCTACGCATACTTAAGCAGTTACTACTGATGGGAGCAGATCCCTTAATTGAGTGGTTGCAATATTAATTACTCCACATTATAGAGCAGTGAGTAACAACATAATAGCTATTTTCCCCATAGCTATGAGAAAAATAATGGCCAACGAGCAAGTTATGGCTGTTCCCAGGCACACGGTACATTCAAATCCTATTTTAAGTGTCTCCTCCCACCTCCACCCAAGGAGCCTAATGCCAACTTTAGGATGAAATTTTTCTTCCCAACCTACCTTGTTATGGAACAGTAACTCCTTGTCTTCAGACTCCTTACCTTCCTGCCTCACATTCAGCATCCAGAACAGCGAGGGACTCCCCTTTATGCACATCTCTTTTTTGCTGATGAGCTTTATCTGATGGCTTTCTGCCAGTCCAGTCTTGGGCTGCTTTTCACCAGAGACTACCTGGCTCAGATTTATTTTGGACATATGGAATACAACTAGCTCATAAGACTCATTACCAATTGGATTTTGTGTAATCTCCCTTTCCAATTACCATGGGCTAGGTCCCTGGGAGATGTAAAAATCATGTATCCACCACCTTCAGAAGGAAAATGCTTAGGACCTAGACCATACAAACCAGTTGCAAACAAAACTAAGTATGCTGTTAGCTGGCAACGAGTTTGGGCTAGGAAACAAGACCTTTCAGACACTTCAGACGTATTTGATGACTGTCCTACTCACTCTCTCCTTTTATTTAAAGGGAATCTATGCAAGTAGAGCTCAACTCTTCCTAATTAATGCCCAAGCCCAGCAAGTACCTCTCTGCACAAAAATCATCCAGGTCTTCGCACAGCCATGATCACCGCACCATTCTTCTTCCATAGTTCACCTGCTTTGAATGTTCCTTGTTCTGTTTATATGGGAGAAACAGCATCAACAATAATATCAGCCATTCTTGTTTATAATGATTAATGCTTTAAGGACCAACACAAAGCACTGCAGAAAATTCCACACTCAAATACAGTTCTGTCAGAAAAAATTTCTATATGCATAACAGGGTATTATTGCTTTATTAATTTTTAGAAGGGTGTCATGTTTCATCCAAAAATACCAGTTTTGGTTGCTTTTCCTTCACCAGAATTATCTGCTATCAAGGACACCCAACTACATGTTATAACTAGGAAAGACTAAGAAATACTCTTCCAATCCTGGTCTTACAAAGGTTCTTACAAAAGCCCAATTATCGAAGAATGTGGGCTGAAACATCCAGAATCTTACCTGCTCCCAAAGTTTTTAGCTCTATCTCCTCTAAAAACTCCAACGTAGCCTTTTCTGGCTTGGACAAAAATAAGTCAGTGTTAGCAAGGACGATCCCTGTCACAGCTGCACCAATGGCTCCAAGACCAACAGACCACATGCCCATGGCGAAGTTCCCGAAATCGGGCAGGAAGGACATTTCTGGAAAGAGAAAGAAGAAAGCAGCTCTAATACTAGACATTAATCATGCCAGACAAGGAGGAACTGGATTAAAAGAACAACAAAAAGCTCACATGGATATTATGGTTTGACTGGAGATGACCTGTATATTTATTAACGTACTGAACTGGGTTTTAGAAGATTTAGATTACATTCCAGTTCTGCACCTGACCCACATCAAAACTATTAACAAGATATTCTTACCTTTTCCTGCTACCAGACTGACAAACACATTCATGATTAAAGTGCTCAGACGCAATGGGGAGAAAGATGATGGAAGTACATGTGTGTAATAAAGAGCCTCTAACAAAATGACCTCTACGTTAGCCAGTAAATTAAATTACTACAGTAAGACAGTGGTTTCTTTCAAAAAAGAAGCATTTGTACAATAAATGGGTTTCCCTCCCCATTAATCTATATTAAACAGTGAATTTTACAAATATACCACAGAAGACTTAAAAAAAAAAAATTATATCTGGTTCACCATTACTGGCAACTTTTCCTGTTCCTTACAGTCCCACACTAGAACCATAGCAGGCACCAAGCCAAAATTAGAGCTTATCAGTCATGCCTGCAGACAGAAATATGTAGACTTGCAACCATTTTATTAGACACAGTGATCCAACATTACAAACATGCCCTGGACAGCACCTTCTAAATGCTAACCAATTTCTACTCTTGCTAAAGCAGAAACAACATCAGGAACAAACGACTTAAACTCACACCCATCAGTTAGAACTGATAACATTGCAATGTAAGCCATTACCTATGCTTGCTCGAGTCTTGAAGTACAAACACTGCTTGTTGTTACTGGTGACTCTAGTTTGGTAGCAATTTTATTTAACCACCATCCATCCACAACTCCCCCCCGCCCCCCCCAGCCCAATCCTGACCCTTGCGCATGTTTCACAAGCCTGGAAAGGGCTGGCAGCCACCTTCCAGTGAGGCAGTATCAGTTATGAGGATGCAGGAAAGCACACTTAGCCCTCCCTCACAGACGAAATTCAAGAATCAGCTCTGAGCAATAACTGGTACAAGTGTCATTGGAGTTTTGGCAGTGTAAGAAGTCACTGTACGCTCACATCACAACAGTTATGTGTTACAAAGGGCTGCAGATTTGCAGTCACCCAACTTTAGTATTACACAATACGGAGAATCAATTTTTTTCCAGAGCCATCTGCAAAACCCTATTCCCTGATAAGACTGTTTTGGTAAATATTGCTGTCTGTATATACTTTTGTATGGGAAAGGTTTTTTTCCCTCACAAATATAGGAAAATATTACTGTTTTGAACTGTGACTGGCAATAAGCCAGAGACAGGCATAATCTTTATCCCCACAGCTAGCTGTTGCCAGAATTCAGAAAGTAAGAACTAGGAGCAGCTCCTCGCTTTTTGTGTCAGAGCCATGGTGCCCAGAATTTTCTGAGAGAAAATCCCTTTCCATCCTTAAAACTAGCTCCAGAATACTACTGACAAACAAATACAACCAACCGCCTACCTGCAGAAATAGCTAGAAAACATTTTGAAAAAAAAGATCGCTTTGTTCCTTTAACAGCATACTTGGTTCCAATAAAGACAGTATCGCAGTATCTAGAAATGTGAGTAATCCACGATCCCAAGCAGGAAACAAGGCCAGTTTACACAAACATAATGCAGATAAGAGAACAGATTCTACCTCGTTTCACCACTTATTTCTAACCAAGGGAAACCTTCCTTGACCATTATCTACTTTCTCTACATGCTTTTTTCAAACCTGAAGTCATACTGTAATGACAATTTTTTGATATCTGCCTCTGACTCGTATCAGAGACCATCCTGACCCCAGCCTTTGGAATGACCAAAATGTAACTCAAAATGTATTGCTGTAATGCAGCAATATCCTTGTGTTAAGACTTAAAATCTCTGTGGCATACCCAAAAGGCTATAGCCCTGCTCCCTCCTAGCGTCTGATCATCCAACTGTTCTTTGGACTTGGATCTTGTCTGGTCAAGATCTGTTTTTCTCTTAATTCTTAGTTACAAGAGGAGAGGAGGGGTAAAACCCAACTATGCCTGTCATTTGTGTACAAAAATGTTGCCAAATTTGTGGCAACTGATTAAGTTGCAGTTCACACATAGCTTTTTATTTTTATTAGCATTATTATGATTATTGTTAGCATTATTAGCATCGCTAAAAGCCAGCTTCCACTCAGTTCTGGTTGACAGAGAAAAGCGTTAAGCTTAATCAACACACCTCTTTAGTTTAATTGGACTCTTTGGTCTCCACTCAGTGACAAGAAAAAACCCTATTAAAATATGCGAATCTTCTGCTATTTAAATAAATAGGGGAATGGAAGAAGCAGCTTTACACAATGATACTGAAACTCCTCCCCTCCTAAGCAAACACCATAGTGAGCCACTTTGAAAAATACATATGGGAAACAGCAGCCAGGATTATTAAAACATTTGCTAACAAGACAGGCTGAGCCCTGATGCATCTATGTCATTGAACCCCAAGTGAAGAGAATAAATTGAAAACAGCTGAGCATTTGCAACTAGCAGCTTCATTTCTGTTTAGCTGCTGTTTATCAAGGAAATCGGAAGCTCAAATGAACTTCACAACCCTCCACCCCACCTTAAAATACAAACTCTACTGCCTTGTGATCAAACTCTACAACATCAAACAACAATCCACAATAAGAAGATACAACAAAGCATCCCATAAGCCACAATCCACGAGGGGAAGACACAACAGAACATCCCGTCAGCCTTTAACATTTAGGTGCACGCACTCACCAGAACCCATGCAGCCTGCAGGAGCATCAGCCACCACCAGCTCCCCCTGAATGCGAGCGCAGGCAGGAGAGAAGACAAACTCGCGTTGCCACGGGTGGCAAGTGGGCAGGACTAGGCAAGAGTCCAGCTCTGGAGCCTTTGCCTTGTGGCCAGGACCTGGCTCTCAGCGTCTCTGAGCAATCCGTGCCCCAGTCACCCTGCGGCGGTTACGAAAGAACAGCTGTCCAATCACAGCAAGATCGTTTTAAAGGTATCTTAATCGTTCAACTCCTTTTTTTTTTTAACTGAACACATGGTTACCCTCTTTATGGGGTGCGTGGGTACAGGGAATGGGAATTATAGTAAGCTTTTCTGAAGCTGGGAACACAGCACTAAACTTTAAGATCTGAGTGCTAAACTGAGCTTTTCTGTAGAACTGTGCAATTTTACAAGTAATATTTTCCCAGTGTTTCAGCCTATTCTATTTCTAACCCCCCACACATGCCCACTGCATGCCAACAATACAAACAACCCTGGAAACAATTAAAAAGCCATCAAAATGTGCAATGTTAGAAAAAAGCTTCAATATAGAGGCTGTACTGGTCAATTAACCCAGTGTTTCTATGCTAGGCTATCTTCTTTAGTGGCAACATCCCTTCGCTAAAGACCATCATTTTCTCTGGAACTATCAGATCTACAAGCTCTCAACTCTGCTAAATCCTCCAGAAGGGAACGAGCACTTCTCTTTACAGAGAGCAGAGGCCAAAGAAAAAAGGAAAAACATCTTTTTCTGTGTTTTTGTGGTGATCACAAGAGATCTCCAAGATAACAGCGACTTATTTTATGGTCTGTCAGGGCTCAGCTAACCAGAATTTAAACAAGCTTAGTCTTAATCCTGTCGTAACTGCCAGTTGATGGTCTTCACTTTGTGTCAAGAAGACCAGTTAAAACATGGTTTTCTACATGTCTCATTTCCCTTCCACCCACAACCGGAGAAAAAAATTGTTGTTAAGAGGATAGCTATCCTTAAACATTTATTTTAGTAGTGTAAACAGGACCCATTGCAGCTGTGTCAAAAAAAAATGGAAAGTCCATGTTTTCAAGTTCTCAGCAAAACTCAGGGTAGCACACAGATTTACTTACATACTTTTCCTAAGAAGATAGTTGAGCAAAAGTGGAAACACTCAGTGGGCACTCTTACAAGCTGGACTGCACTGGCACATATACCCTAGTCTAAAACGGCCTTGACCATTGCTTATTCTTCCCTTCTCTCCCACTCCCAACTTCCCCAAGACATTCCATAGAACCTAAAAATCTTTCGGAGCTTTGTCACAACTTGCATATCCCAAACGTAAGTTGAGCTGATTATTTTTTATGAGACATTCCCCCTAGAAATTAGTCATATGATTACAAATATCTTTGTAATCCAACTCCTATAAAGAAAATTTACAATTCACAATAACCTGGTAACATGCTCATCAAGATTTCATGAGCTTTTAAATACCATTAAGGATTACAAAATACAGCATCCTGACTGATCTTCAAAATTAGCCCTGCTTTAAGTGGGGATTTGATTGGAGAAACTTCATAGGTCCCTTCCAACCTAAATTGTCCTTTAAATGCCAAAATCAATGCACAAAGAAGCCTCCTAACATTTCTGGTGGCATGAATGTAAGTAATTTTCACAACACGAGGGATTTTCTTTTCTTTTCTTTTCTTTTCTTTTCTTTTCTTTTCTTTTCTTTTCTTTTCTTTTCTTTTCTTTTCGCCACTGTCAAGATCCTGTAACAAACCATTCCTTGTGTTGAGAATAACAGTCATCTTTTTAGGTTTCTCCCCAGTCTGCGCATGTTTCATTACTGAATTCAGTACAACACTGCGCTTGGCTCACGCTGAAGAGAACCCTTTTCTTTTGAGCAAGGGAGAGCAAAGAGCTCTGGCACAACACTGTGGAAATCTTCCAACTCTCCAGGTATATTCAGAGGCAACAGGCAGCTAGATACCGCGTATAAGAAAATTGAAATATCTGCTCAATCCGCAAAATGGAGATACCCACAGAGATGGGAGGAAGCACTGGAGCACAGAACTGCGAAAAGTACTTACGTGAAGATACTACAGGCTAAACTCACTGCTGGGGATCCAGAGCAGGGAAGCTGCACGCTGCGGCACTCTGCAGAGGTGGGGGAAGAAGAACACCAACAGACCCACTCATAATGCAAATCAGCG